GAAAAATCAGGTAAAACTGATAAACCATAAATGTTGTTTTATGAGATACCAAGGTGTAGAGCTGGATGAACACAGCAAGCCAAGCAGCATCAGAGGAGCAGGAAGGCTGACGTTTCGGGCCTAGACCTGCTCCTCTGATGCTGCTTGGCCTGCTGTGTTCATCCAGCTCTACACCTTGGTATCTCTTAAAACAACATTTATGGTTTATCAGTTTTACCTGATTTTTCAACAGGTTGAGAGTCTGCCTTAAGGTATCTGTCAAAGTCTGTCCATTTTTGTAGAACTCTGCCACTGCTTTATTCAGAGATATTTTGTAATCATCTTTGTTCAGCTCTTGCAGATGACCCAGATATTGCAGACAAGCGTCAAACTGTCCGGACTATGGCAAAATTAAGAAAACATATATAAAAAATCAACCGCTGTTTGCGGCAAACAATTTTCTGGAACTTCATAGTTCATACATCCAAATAAACACTGATGCAGTTTTAATAAATCACAGTATGTAGGATGCTCTTAGAGGAGGGAAAACAAATGAAAGTGCATCAGTCAGTCTTACAATAAACAAGGAGCCAGCACATTGTATCCTGGCATTCTGATAACAGCTGGAAATTTCTGTCATACCTCAGTGTAAATTCCCATACTCTGTTCCATTGAAATATCAAATAAGCTAACTTCAACAATTACCATTTTAGATATTTTGACTCAATTTGTCACAGATGTTATCACACACCTCTTAGAGCAGACTTGAACCCAGGTGTCCTGACTCAACAGATGAGGACACTACAGTCACACTACAAGAACCCCCAATTACCTTTTTTACCAGGACTCAAAATTGGATGACAGCACGTGTGCGTGTGCGTGTGCATGCATGTATTGTCTTGTTCTCGACCCATTATCACGTTGCAACAATAACAGCAACAACAGGAAACTGCTGAAAACTCTACATTATGATCAGTTGGCCAAAAAGTTCTGAAGAACAACTTTATGATGTAGTACAATATTTGCAAATATCATTACTTATGATCGTTTAATTTGGTGTTATTTACATGGAAATAAATCTAACTGCTGCTGCCTGTGTTATGCACTAGAAAAAGGAGCTCAATTCATTTGCTATTCAGTGGCGTAGAGAATAACAGTATCATGTTATTCCCTTGCATATCACACTTCAGGCATTAAATTTCAGATTATAGAAGACACACGGCTGTTTATGGAACAGTGTCTTCTTCTGTTGACACGAACAGTGTGGAAGATGGTGCTAATCGTAACAACTCAAAAGCCCGCAACAAAAATTAACTGGCCATGAAAGTCAATTAATGGAATTAATAGAAAAGAAATGTTGCAATTGTCTTGGCCCTACAGTAAACTTGATTTCATGATAACTCTTTATAATGTAATACTTACAGTGTAAGCCTGATAAGCATTGTTTGCAAGCTCCTTCACATGGTCAGCTACCCCTGAAGAAAGAGAATTACTCTCTGTTTTCACATCAGTATTCTGATCTACAAAACAAAGCAAAGACATTTATTTAGCATATCTGTTTCTCGTACGACAATTTTTTTCTTCACATTCTAACAATCTGCAGTTTCTTCTGAACCAGTAATAAAAACTTAGCTAAAATCAGTCTTAAGCTTCTGCAAAAGTGAATGAATTTTTCATCTCATTCATAAACAACTGACTCCTTATCATGGGATTACACTTTCACCATCTAGCCAGGGAGAAACAGTCTGTCAGTCCATACCCTATCAGAATTTTATCTGTTTCAATGAGATTACCTCTCATTCTACAAAACCCAGAGAGTATAACTACAAACCAAAATCAAAACAACAACTTACTTAGAAGGGTAATGAATAAATGTTTTGAAAGAAATTGAAATGTATGACGACAACAACAGCAATGGGGAGGTAATCAGGATGAGTGTTTCAGTGATGAGTTTTAGCTGGCATAGAAAATTACATAGTTGCAATTTATGCATTTCAGCATATTTTACAGAAATCATCACTTCAATTAAAAATTTTAAACTATCTCAACAGTTTTTTTTTTAAACGTGCTTACTCTGTCACTGAGCAGTCAGGACAGCACTATCTGTCTTATGGCACAGAATGAGGCCATTTAGTCCAAATAGAGTTACCCAGCTTAATCCACCTGGCAGCACTTAGTGCATAATCCTCTTTGGTTCCAGTAAATGAACATCAAAGTACTTTTAAAGTCTTGTGAGATTGTGTGATCTACCATCCTTTGAGACAGATAGGTCGAGACTCCAACTGCTTTGTGGCTAAACACATATATTGCAGATTGTCGACTGGAACCGATTCACGAGTGTCCATCCCCACAACAAAGTAGGTAAACAGACAGCCCTGGGGCGCGCGCGCACACGCGCACACACACACAGACAGACACACATAGAGAGAGAGACAGGCGGGCGATGTTACTTCCTTCCTGAACCGACTCTAGGCCCCTCACCTCCATTACTCGCCGCACAAGGGTCCGACATGACTCCCATTCACCTCTTCCCCTCTTCCCCACCTCCCCAGGATGGGGACGGAGCCCAAGCCCCAGAGCCGGGTAAGGCGTAGTACCGAGTCCCCAAGGCCCCACCGGAAAACAGTCAACCAGACGCATCTAATGAGCGTCACTTCCTGTGAGAGGCTATCCTTGTAGCATCTTGAATATCCCTTACATTGTAGTACAATACACCCTATAGAAATATAATATGCAATGTACCGAATCCTATGGAATTATAATGTTGTACGCTGCACCGTAAGAAATATCAAATATTGCAGGGCGCATAGAATACATTGTAAAAATAGAACATATAATTAATGCACCTGGTCCTGTGGTGATATTTGATATGTTTAAATGTAAAAAATAGAACAAGTCCACCCATTAACAATATTGAACCCATTAGCTATCCATCACATCAATTCTTGGATAAAGAACGTAAGGAGTATTAAAGATAATACTCTTTATCTGCTCTGGCAGTTTAATGAGTGGATTTAGTAGTGGAAAAGGGAATGAGTCTTGAAGAAGTTTTAAAATATTACAAACAAAATCTCAATTATATACCTCATTGTCCATATAAATTATTTATTAAAAGCAAGGTGAGGACATTTCCAGTAGAAAGTGGGACAGGAAATATTAATTTAGAAACAAAACGTTGAATAACAAGACCATGACAGATGTAGAATATGATTGAACAAAGCACTGAATGAATTTATAGATAATACGAAAGATTTGCAAATCTTTGAATGAAGAATTCCTCCATCTCAGTACTAAGTGTCCAAATCCTTATCCTGAGAATAATGCAGAGAGGGTGGTCAATACCATTTCCATTTCATAGAAGTGAGCTGGATATAGAAAACAATTATAAGTTGAATTCTGCAGACATGTAAAACACAAATTCCAATGCAGGTTACAAGGGAGAACTTACATGCAATTGAACAGATAAATGCAAATATAAACATTAAAGCTGCTATATGTTGGGAGGACAGTGAGATTCACAATGGAGGGGTTAGGATCAGTGACATAGACTGTCAGTGTATCGGTCACTCTCTGGGTCATTCTTAGTCTCTCATTATGATTTATTCTTTTTCTGTGAATCTCTCTGTATGGCTTACTAAAAACAACAAATGCTGGAGATCACAGCGGGCCAGACACCATCCTTGGACAGAGAGCAAACTAACATTTGGAGTCTCCACGACTCTTCATCAGAGCTCTGATGAAGAATCATCTAGACTCAAAACAATAGCTTGTTCTCTCTCCATTGATGCTGTCTGACCCACCGTGATTTCCAACTTTTATTATTTTCAGTACAGATTTCAGCATCTGCAGTAATTTGCTCCTACGTTCTCTTTATGGCTTACTTTGTCTGGATCATTGACTTTCTATAGGTTATTTTCTCTCTCTTGACCAGTCTGTATGTTAAATGATAGAAAACAGAGGGTAAGTATAGATGGGCATTTCTCAGACTAGAGACAAGTTGTCAATGATGTTTCCAAGGGATCAGTGTAGGGACTCTTGACTTTTCTGACTTATATAAATGACTGCTGAGATGGCTGCTGAGGGCAAAGTCTCTACATTTGCAGATGATACTAAGCTAAGAGAACTGCAAATTGTAAAGATGACGTTAAGTGACATCAGGGAGACAATACCAAGTTGGCAACCTGGGCAAATGCCTGGCAGATGAATGTCAATGCATACAAATGTGAAGTAACACATTTTGGTAGGAGAAACCTGGAAAGACATTACAGGCTGAATGGTACAACTTTAAAGGGAGTACAGGAGCAGAGGGTCCTCAGGGTTCAAGTGCATAATTCTCTGAAAGTGGCCAGGCAAGCAGATCAAAAAGAGTTAGAGGCATACAGGTTACATTGCAGGTTACGTTATTTGAGGCTAGAGTCCATTCATCAGTCTGATAACGGCCAGAAAGAAGCTGTTTCTGAACCTGCTTGTGCATGTGTTTGGGTTTCTGTATCTTCTGCCTGATGTAGGAGGTCATTACCAGGGAGCAATGTGTCTTTAATGATGTTGACCGCTTTTATGCACCAGCGAGCCATGTAAATACAGTATACACTATAAAAGCAGGGAAGTAATACTACATCATTGGTCATAATAAATCATTCGTCAGACCATATTTGGAACATCGTGTTCAGTTCTGGTCTCCTTATTTAAGAAAAGGTATTAAAACCCTGGACAGAGTGCAAATGATACTAGGAATGACAGAAAATTAGATACAAGGAAAGATCATAGAAATTGGACTCATTCTCCCTGCAGCAGAGAAGACAAAGTGTTGACCTTTTGAGGTATTCAAATTTTTTTTGACAGGGTAAAGAAGGATATTCTGTTTCTACCATTTAGTGTGTCAGCAACTAGGAGTTACAATTTCAAGATTGTCAGCGAGAGAACAAGGAGTGAGATGAGGAGAAACTTCTTTACTCAGAGAATTGTTTGAATTTGGCATGTGGTGCCTGGGAAGTGATGGAGATGGATTCCATAGGAGGTTTCAAGAGAGAGCTGAATATATATTTGAACGTGATGAATATAGAGGGCTATGGACACAGGGCTGGAGAATGGGACGAGCTTGTTCAGGAGCCAGTGCACAAATAGCCTTCTGCTGTGCTGAAAAGTTCTATGATTCTGCCCACGGGTCCTTCCCTAAAGGTCACTCACTATCTGGGAGCTTACTTTGTCCGGACCACTGTCTATGTGTTACATTCTCTCCCTCTCTGGGTCACTCAACTAGTTTCTGCTCTCTGGGCTTCTCTCAAAGGATCATTCTCTCTAGCCCTTTCTTTCTGGGTTTCTATCCAATAGTCACTCTGTCTCTGTCTCTCTCTCTCTCTCTCCCCCAAAGAGTTCTTCTCCCTAACAGTCACACTCTCTGGACCTCTCTCCAATGTCACTCACTCTAACACTTTCTTTTCAGGCCTCAAATATTCAGTCTCTCAATTAGTTGGATTAGAGGTGTCAGTGAGTGTCCGGAGGGGGAGAAGTGAGTGTGTCTAATAACAACACTCTCTCGGAGTCCCCGCTATGTAATCCTCTCACTACAACTCACGACCTCTCAGTTATAATCCCGCCCTTTGACCTTCCGGATCCTCTTTGCTCTGGCGCCGAAAGAGTTCTGGCCGCCGCTGCTGAGTCGCTCCCATTGCAGCTGCGCGTGATCGCGAGCCGACATGTTTAACGGTAAGTGTTTGGTGTTCGAGGTTTGGGGGAAAGGAGAGGGGTAAGTGAGTGTCCGGGGTGGGGGGTGAAGAGAAAGGGGGATCAGAGAGTGTCCGGGGTGGGGGGACGGGGGTGAAGAGAAAGGGGGATCAGTGAGTGTCCGGGG